GCAACGTTCGTTGTCAACGCGCGCTTGCCATTACACAAACAATTTTTTAACAATTTTTAAAACACGCCCAAGATAAAACAACAAATATACTAAAAAATCGCTCTCACAAGAGAATTTTTTTCTCCTACTTTTCTCCTACTTTGTGAAATGCGAAATTTGTTTGTGTAATAGTAACATTTGAAATTTTAAGAAATGTGTTGACGAAAATCAAAACATTTTGATATTTCTTCAAACATGCTCGTGTTTTTGCATATACAGTCGGATTTGGTCGGCATGCAAAATTTTATTTATTTTGAGAAATGGAAGCGTAAACATCGTTTAAATGCACGCATGATTTGTCGTTAGGATGCGATGCTTTGCAAATATGAATGAATTTAATTTTAAATATTTGTATTTTCTACCTAGGTAAAATTTTTTAATTTCCAAAACATTTTATTAAGAAGAATTAAAATATTAATAACCTTGGGCTAAAAAAAAATAACCAAACATTAAATTACAATAAAAATTTTGTTTTAAATATTAATTGCATTGTGCACCTACGGAAAATTTGTTATTAAAAAATACCAAAAAAAAAATTAAATTAAATAAAATATAATATATATAAAAATAAATATATAAATTGAAATCATAAAAATAAATAAAAATATATAAATTAAAATTATAAATTAAATGTAAAACATCATTTTTCGTAAGGAAATTACGCATAGCAGCCGCTGTCGACACTTCAGGGATTGCTTTAATACTGATGAGTGAACAAATTTTGCATTGTTTGCTGGAGGCGTGTTAAAAAAATTGTTGGTAAATTTAATGTGTAATGGAGAGAGAAGACTTCGTGTGTTTGTCAACGCGCGTTGATGTCTAAGGGCCACTTAAGAGATTGTAAATAGATGTAAGAGATTGTAAATAGATGTAAGAGATTTTAAATAGATGTAAGAGGTTGTAAATAGATGTAAGAGATTGTATATATATATAAGAGATTCTAATTAGATGTAAGAGATTCTAAAGAGATGTAAGAGGTTGTAAATAGATGTAAGAGATTGTAAATAGATGCAAGAGATTGTAAATAGATGTAAGAGATTGTAAATAGATGTAAGAGATTATAAATAGATGTAAGAGATTCTAAATAGATGTAAGAGATTATATATAGATGTAAGAGATTGTATTTGTA